TTTCTATGAGCTCCGGGCTACACGGTTCTATCTACTCGTACACCTAGACACGGCTCGCGACGAAGGGTCAAGGGATAACCCAGCGAGGGAAGTTGCATCTGTTGCTCACTGGGGGGTGTACGATCATTTTTTAGGGGTAAGACCGCCATCGTGGGGGTAAGTCGCCTAACGAATCGTTTTTGTTCGCGGCCCGGACAAACATCGACGCACAAATGAAACGATAAAACGGACAACAGACGCCGCCGTCGTCGCCGCGGCGCGCCACGTCCCATCCCCTTTCTCCCATTTACCTCGTCCGTTCCATCTATTTACGTTATCCACTATTTTCATCGGAGATCAGGCGACGGTAGACGAGCTTGCTTATTATTAATCGATCGATCGGTCGATCTATTTATACAGCGTGAGGCGTCCAGCTATACTTAAATATCGATGCTTCCTAAAAACGGTTTTTCTCTTCACCTTCGTTCCTCGTTTTTTAACGTCTTTCTTTTCCTTCCTTTTTTCTTTGTTCACCCTATCCTGGCATTCTTGGGGACGCGAGTCGTAAATCAAGTCGCTAGAAGGAGGTTGTCAGCGAAAAATACGGCGGATAAAGGTGGTTGGGGGCAAGAGTTTGTTTCAGATGCCAGAACCTCTTTCGCCTCCACCTCCCCCTCGAAAAGCATCGCTCTTTCGCCACCGACAACGACGACGACGACGACGACGACTTCCTCCGACCTCTGAGCCCGAGATCCACCCGTTTCTCGATCGGCACTCGTTTCCATTTTTCTTGCCATTTTATTTATTTATTTATTTATTTATTTATTTATTTATACAAAATGCTGTTTTATGCTAGGATTAGTTACGCAGTAGTAAGCCAACGATCACAATCAGTGATTGTGGAAACAGTGATTGAGATGAAATTTAAAATGAAATAACATAGGACGATAGTAACAGGAGCGTTCGTCCAGAAGCAAAGGAATCGTAAGAATTTACGCTGAACGACTTTCAAAATGTTCCGGAGTTTGGATATTCTCGGAGACCAGATAATGCTCGCATATTCAAGATGAGAGAGAACAAGAGGATTGTAAAAAGTTAGCAAAGTGAAGAGGCTCCTGAGGTGACCGCATGAACGTTTCAGGAAGCCTAGCATCTTGAAAGCCTTGTTTGAGACGAAGGAAATATGTGCATGAAATGTTAGGCGAGAATCAATAAGGACGCCAGATCTCTGACACAGTCGGAAACCTGGAACGGTTCTTCTACGAAAGTTTCCGAGTCGAGGTTTCCCGGTTCCAATTCGAGCCTCCGAACGAGACACGATTCTCTTACAATACGTGGAAGTAACGAATTCGAGCACATCTCCCTTCGCGTTTATGAAGAATGAGAAGAAATATTTGATCGCTCTCGACGGTGGACGTTCCCCGACCACGTCTCCAGCTTCCATCCCATCTATTCGATCGGGAATCACCGGGAATAAATGCGGTTTGTAGGGGGACAGAAACGAGAAAGGATAAATAAATTTTATTATCACATTCCGAAGATTTTTCATTTTCACGGTCACCAGCCTAATAAGATTTCTGTCGGCGATCCTTTTCCGAGATATCTATACCTCGATCGATTCTTATCTAAACGTCCATCGCTCGGGATCGCTACGAATCTTTTACCACCGGTTGCCTGCCACTCCTTCCAACCGAACTATCCTCTGCGTCGCAAGTCCTTCTCTCTTTCCGGTTTCCACGTCTCCGAGTCGCTAACGCATCTCCCACCTAATAGATACGCATACTCATTGGGAATTGTCCGCTCGTTTCGTCCAGTTCCCTAAACGCGATTATCGTCGCGATCGACGAGATCGAAATCGAAAATGAGTCGGGGGGCGCGCGACGTCTTTTGTTCTCTCGCCGAAACAGCAAGAAAGGAGCCGGCAAGAGGAAAATGCATCTGGAACGCTCAGCGCGGTAGGTTCCGAACAAGTTACCACGTAAACACGAATCAGACAAGGTATCGACACGGGCCGACAAAGATCCTCGTGTTTCTAACGACTTCGAGACAAGATCTGGAATACGATAAACGCGGATCGTTTCTCTTAAACCTCGTCCGTTCTTCCGCCCATCTGACCGAACTAACCGCAATGTCCGCGATAATTCACGCATACGTCCGATTTATATCATCGATCACATCGTAAATGGTAGCAGGCGTCAACGATTCATAATTTCTTGGACTCGATTCCGTAAACGCGTTGAAACTATCGATAAGAACGATTCGGAATTAGGAGGAAGAGTGACGTCGTTCGTCGTGCAGTCCGTTGGCGTTCATCGCGTCGGAGGAACGGGTCACCGTACCAAGCGGTTCGCGAGCGACAGAAGGTGGATGGAAAGCATCATTCAGACGCGTATATCTCCTAAGTGCAGCGAGGAGCCACGAGTCCGGCTTTATGACGGTTATTAATATGGAATAGTCAGCCACCGTGGCCATTACGTACATAATGGGATGTCATTTTTTCCCACGACAATGAGGCACCCCGTTAAATACTCGATGCGTTTGCATCATTCACACGCGCATGATTAAGTTTCGTTAATATATCCAATGGGAGCGTGCAGCGGAACAGGGCTCTGAGCGAAACAAAAGCGATTTCATTCGAATAAAAAAACGTTGACATTCCGTCGGAACACCTATTTGCTTCTCCGTACGCGTAACGTAAATGTATGTATACGGTACACCAAGCGTTCGCTATGTAATTACCTAGATTTAACTATGATGGGTCTGATACAATTTCTCAAGCTTGAATGTAGAATTTGAGGTACCATTTAAGGTTGGGTGAGCCGTAAGATATCTGCTAAAAGCTTAAGAAATGCGATTCAAAGATATGTTTAAGATTTCCAACAATAAACTTTCAGGGAAAATTATATTTACAGAAAAAGAAGGTTTATAAAATTGTTCAACGCATTTTCTAACCAATTTTTAATGCGTAATTTCTAATATTTTATTAAATGGTTTTGATACTTTTTGATAGGATTTTACTTGACTTGCGACTTACATTGTTTACAAGTTAATTTCTTTAATAGTATCGCAAAATTTATGTTTCTAAACGATAAATTTAACCGTGCAAATAGATTTGTCAAAAGTCCATTTGTATAAATAATATACTAAAATATGCGACCTTTTTGTCAATTTTTCTAATAAAATGCTGGCATCTTTTCTTCAAAATTTATTTCTGGCTGCTGAAGGACCATATGTAAATTATGGATCAAATGAAATGTTTATCTTTGAACTCAAAAACAAAAAGAGTTGCAAACAATAAAAATTATTAATTTTGACACTTTGAAAAATAGGAGTGAAGTATGAAAGAGATCATAAATATTTTTGGGACAAGTAGTGAAGAAGGACAGAATGGTCGGTGTAAATTCCAGTTTCTTAGTCTGCTAATCGGTTTATTACAGAGTGACCATAAGCTGTCAGTCAGTCAGACTAGACCGTTAGGATCTTCTCGCCCTGCGCGTACCTTTAACGGAAGTAACTTGTTTACATGCACTTCGAATTTTAAGCATATCAGAGTTAAAGAGCCTGTCGTTATTTAAAAACCATGCAAGTGTACAATTCGTTTGTTCATAATGTACTCAAAACAGGAGCATGACACTTGGGTATGTTCCTTTATAAGATTGACAATAGGACTAAGGACAAGAGAGTAGAGTCAATTAAAGGTTCCGGAAAATAAACTCGGAAGAACTAAAGAGAGTTGAAAGACCTAGTGAGAGTAATAATTAAATTAGTGACTATATAGTTGTCAATACATGAAAAGTGCATTGAATGTAGGACAGAACGTGTGTCGATAATGAACGAGTGTCATAAACATTCCAGGTTCCCGTCGGTTGATTTTCGTTCACAACGAATCTAAGCCAATGAACAGGTACATAAATTAGCTACTTAACGTAAAATAGTCGTAGAAACAGTAACTGTAAGCCATTGTAATCATCGGTCCCATTCTACCCCGTTAAATAGTTCGTTTCAGCAAACAACCTCGCGTTTATTTTTATACGAGGGGTGTCATTCATCGGTTAAGAGATTATCGGGTCTCGCGACTTCTGTAAATAACCTGTCGACGCAGGTAAGCCTGTGCCATCGCGGACAGGTAGACGTTTCCACAAGGGTCGAAAGTAGGTAATTCCCTTACTTTTCCCACGCCTATTGCCTCCGGAGCAATACTGTGAAATAGCGGTAAAGCTTCGAAACGAAGCCGGGTCGAGCAACGACTCGAATAACAACTTTTGCATAAGCAAACGGTTCCTCCGAAATAGACGCATTCATTTACGTTATTAAATTTGTACCTATACATAGACTTATGTACTTTTTATTTATAGATTTATGTATTATACATGGGTTAATACCCGTTTAATAAAATATTATTATTATTATTATTATTATTATTATTATTGTTATTAATTAAGAAATTCCGAAACGTCTCGCGAATGAAACTGGCTACTATTGCGCGGACGTCGAAACACTCGATCCGAGCGCGAATGCGAGGTACATAAAGTGGTATCGCGACCATACCCTCTGAAATCCTCCCGCGATAAGCGCGGGCGTCCGGAGGCGGGGTCGTGTTTCGCGCTGTATGGTTGGCGTCGCGACGAATGGTAACGGAGCGGACTGTTGAAAGGCCCAAACGAGAAACGAAGATTCGATTTGTACTGGCGGCAGCGGCGCCAATGAAACGCTGGTAACCACCGAGGAACGTACGTCGCCGGGCAACGAGTGGAGTTCGCCAAGGGTAAGAGGCGGTTCCGAAGGACGGTCCCGCCGAGAATGCACGATCTTCGCCGAAACGGTCGATCCAGTTGGCCTATAGCGTGCGAGCGTTGAACGGTGCGAGCGTCGAAAACCGTCGAGGAGAAAGAAGGAAGGAAACAGCCGGCGAGACGAGGCGAAACGGAGCGAGAGAGAGGAGCAAACGGGTTGAACGAGGACAGAGGAGCCCGATTCGTAAACGCCGAAATCGAGGCGAGTCGCTCCGCGGCGGGAGCTTCTCGGTTCTCAGTCCCGCTGTGAGCGCAGCAAGGTACGCTACGAACTTTACGCTCTCCCTCGGTTCCGCGATCTCCGCTGCGAAACGTTCGTTCCTCATCGTTGACGTAAACATCGTCGTCGCGTCGCCTCGCGTCGTTGTTACGAACATGAGTCGCAATGTCGAAATCGCTCGGGAATAGTTCCGGAACGCGACGACGAACAGACTTGACGCCGACGCGCGCGATCGGACCGTCCGTTTAACGTTTAATCGCAAGTGCAGTTCGAGTGGGGTCCGTGCGAATGACGAGCGAATCGTTTCTAGAGCGTCGATGCCATCGCACCGCGTCCGTTTGGGTTCGTCGAAAGAGAAGTGTTCGTTACCTGTGAGAAAAGGAGGAGCAGGAGGAAGAAGGCGAAGAGGAAGAACAAGAAGAAGAAGAGGAGGAAGGACGCGTGGAGGAGGTGGTGGCAGTGGAGAAGAGAAATCGAAACGAGGAAACGAATGGAAGGTGCGAAGTCGTGGGAACGGTGCGAACTGTAGCGCGGTAGCGATCGCGATTACGCGGACGGTGTGCAGGTAGACAACGCGTACGTCGAGTGCCGCGGCTAGGGAAGACATGTTCGGTTCGGGCTCGATATAATTGCGAACTGACATCGGTACTGAAAACGGAAGCGGAAAGCGACCGTAGCTCGCAGCCCCGCCGGTCACGATGATGAACGCTTTTCTGGATGGCGTCTCCTCGCACCCACACCATTTGGCGAATCTCGGCATTAAACTGTCACCGAGCGGTGCCGGCTCGTCCGCGAGCTCCGCGGCGGACACCGGCTCGGGCGTACAACCGGCGGCACCGGGAGAGGCACCGTCCCAGCAGCATCATCACTTTCATCCCCAAGGCTATCCTCCTCATCATCCTCATCCTGCGTCGCACATGGCGCCGCACATGGGCCATCACATGAGCCATCATCCCGGGTACGCGGCTCGCGATTTCCTGTTGCGCCGCGAGCACGAGTTCAACGCCACAGCGAATCCCACCACGCCGGAGAGCGGCCTCGGCTTGTTTACGCCGCTGCACCACGACGGGACCGGCGCCGCGATGCAACAATTCCCGCACCATCCAAGCCAGCATCCTCTCGCGGCGGGCCACTACCCGGGCCACTATCCTCAGGACTCGAGGCTACCGCCGCCGCCGCATCATCACCAGTACTTGGCCCCACCGCATCTGACGCCGGCGTCGATCCATCACCAACAGCATCCCGCCGTCGGGCATCCAGGTCATCATCCGCACGGAGCTTTCCTGAGATACATGAGGAGCAACGGAACCGGTGCCGGGAGCGGTGGCGGCAGCGCCGGCGGCGCGGCCGGCGGACAACGGCAGGAGATGTCCTGCATGTGGGTGGACCAAGACGCGCCGGGACCCGGAAGGAAGCTATGCGGCAAGCTCTTCAACTCCCTCCACGATATCGTGACGCACCTCACCGTGGAACACGTGGGCGGACCCGAATGCACCACGCACGCGTGCTTCTGGCAGGGATGTTCGCGTAACGGCAGGGCTTTCAAGGCCAAGTACAAACTGGTCAATCACATAAGGGTGCACACCGGCGAGAAACCCTTTCCCTGTCCGTTCCCCGGCTGCGGAAAAGTCTTCGCCAGGAGCGAGAATCTGAAGATACACAAAAGGACGCACACCGGTGAGTACTATGCTCGTTTCGTCTTATCGCGTACGTCTCGATGATCGCATCGTGGAAACGAAGGTATCCACGCGTATCCACGTTATCTAAGGCCAAAACTAAACAACTGTATAGAGATCGAATCCAACCGAGCGTTGCGACGGTCCAATAACGAAGGTGTCTATCACCCTCCATAATAGCTACTGTCTCATTCGATTCGCGCCGGGCGAAACACCTCGACTGTTTCAATACCCTGATGATCATTCTTCGGAGAATGATTAAGAAATCCCCGGTCCGTATATCGTCTCGTTCTATCACGTTTGCATATTCGTGTCGTGAAATAGGGTGCTCGAGATTCGAAACCCCAGAAGCGACGGAGAGACGCCATCCATCCAACCGTCGTTCTTTTCTCTTGCGCAAACAGCGACCGTCACGTCGCGAGATTCCTTCCGATACACGCAAACCGCGATCAACTATCGTTCAATAGAATTATAAACGCTTAATTTCGGTTAAAACGCTAAAACGCTTAAATTTTATTTTCGCTGATATAAAAAAACGAGGACGGAAAAATGAAAAAGAAGTAGGAGCGCGACTCGTTCACATTGAGAAGCAGAAATGAAATCTGTAGCTGCGACGAGGCAATACAGAGAAGAGATTCTCCGTGTGCGAGCAGAGAAATCAATTAAAATTCGCTTAGTCGGTGCGGCGGTGAACGAACGCGGATCACGCTCGGCACCCCTTTCGAAATAAATTGGCATTTTCAAAAAACGTTTCACGCGCGACTTCGCCCTTTGTTTCCAGGCGTTCCCCGTTTCACGCGCGTGTACGCTCACGATGCCCCTTTATCGCCCAAACACTTCCACCCTGCCCGCTTTCATCCTGCGTTCTTCGCCGCGACCCGTACAAAAGCGAGTCCACGATTCTTTGTTCTACATCGCGGAAACACGGAACAAGGACAAATATTTTGGCTGCCGCGCATTTACGGTTACTGCACCTACCTGACGATAGCGCGTGCATTCCCTTCGATTCGAGTGCACAAAAGTTGAAGCGACTTAATAATATAGCTATGTACATAGGATGTATAGGTACGTGACCGTGTAAAAGGTAGAAGGTAGAAATATAATTCCCTGCGAAGTCAGAAATATGCATCGTCGCCTATATTCCCGTGACTCGATATCGGCTATGTCTGATTTACTTATCGTTCCAAAAATTCGTTCGACGACGTGACATTTTCAAAAGCGTCCGATGCCTATATTAAATCGCCAGCAACTTCATTACAAATCAGACATTGACACTCTGCTTGTGAGAATTGAGGCAGAATATATTAGCTATACAATCTCGTATCCCAATTTGTTTACCATTAATACTTTTTCACAGGCACACACTCCATTTTCACACTCGCCAATTGTCTCACGTTGTCTCATGAGTACTGAGGCACTTTTGATTCTCTTCTCGCACCCACAGTTAATTCCCTGTTTATAACACTGTGCGTTACGGTGTATCCAACATACTTGTTTGAAAATGTAATCATTATGTACTTTCTAATTTAAAAAAGACGAACTGCCTGTTTATGAATAAATAAATAAGAGCGTGATAATAAATTGACGAAACTGAGACGAAGCGCAGCTTCCATTGACGTTCGATCGCTCCCATACATCCGAATTTAATTAGTAGGTATCGAACGGTAGGATAGAACCGGTGGGTTAGGCTGGTTCGCGTTAAAAACCATTGGGGGATGATACGCAACGTACAGGCGCGTTTCTATCTACGTGATGTAAGAAACGCTCCCGTTAATCCGCGCAGATGCGACCCGTTGGAACGGCGTCGGCCATTAACCATAAATTGATATGCGTTATAAAGAGACGCTGCCCTCGTCGAAAAAGAAGGATGAAACGAAGAACACACCCTGAATAGAAAAAAGAATAGCGTCGTGACGCGCCGATTGTCGCGTGTGCGTGCGCCACGAGCCGCGACGATTGGTCGGATCGACGACGGTCTCCCCTCGCCCAACGCGGCATTGGTCAGGATTTTCGGAGGGTTAGAGACGCGTTGAACAAGGGGATGATACGGGATGAGTCGTTGACGGAGGGTCGAAAGCGTTAAGTAGGGGCGAACGTACCGTCGAGAAGAGAAAAAGTATGGAAAGGTTGCTGTATACATACGTACGCTCTGCTAGTCAGCTGGAATAGGTACTACTTGAATCCTCGCTGGCGGACGTCTTCCCCGCGCCGACGAAACGAGATGCGATTACACGATTAAAAGTTTCGTTACGCCCGCTTACGACGCGATGGTCGAGAAAGTTTGTTCTTTCTCCGTCGAGAGCTAGAGGCTCAGGATGAGTAGGTGAGGGGCGCACCAGAGAGACGGAAGAGTTATCGGCGAAACAAGGGGAGAGAAGACGGAGACGCGTGCGGGAGAGGAAGCGCCGCGCGCGAGGACACAGATATTCGGTGGTGGTCGAGTTGGCGCGTTCAGGAAATCGACGACGATCGACGACGTCGTAAACCTCCGTTCCAAAGGGAGCGTTACGACGAGTCCTGGATAACTAATGGCGGCGAGATCGGAATCGGAGATGCGCGATCGAATTTATGCGAGGTCGATGCGGAAAAGCAGCCGCTGCTGTGGCCGTGATTCGCCGGCTATCGCGATAAGCCGGCACGGCTGTGACGTAGACGGAAACGCACTAAACCGTGCACCGGGCGATTAGAATCGGGATTCCAGAAACAGCGTACAAATTATCTCATCGATATCGATTCGCGGAGCGCGAATCTCGCCGCGGGATTTTAAAGCGAACGAATCGTTGAAATGTTTGTAAGAAGCCGGAAGATGAGGCAACGCTACGGGTCGATAAGACGACGGCGAAACGCGGTTCTCCCTCGTACCGCTCGAAAACCAAGCCACACGATAAAAAACAAGTCCACGTCCCTGTTCCTATTGCTCGGCGAGGCTTTTGTCGTACGACCGCCCGCCCACACCTTCATCGATCGGTAGGAGACGACGGGACGCGACCCCAGCCGTTTACTTATTGTTAGATATCCCTGACAACGCGGAACGCGGAACGAGAGGTACGCGAATAGTACCTAAGATCGAAAAGATTAAATCTAACAGCGAGTATCTACGAGAAGAAGGAAGAACGATGATGAGTCGCAAACTTGTGCGTAAACTTTTGAAACTAATTGAAACTCTTTTCCAACAACGGAATTATGAAAAGGAGACCTATTTATGTAGCGCTTCGAAAAGTGGCTCGGTTCGGTGTAAGAACGACAAAGAAATCGAAACGGAGGTAAACCAGCCGAAAATCTCGTAGTTGAGTGTCGAAAGTTCGGATCATTAAAAGAGATTTCACGAGTTCCTATATTTGGGGCGCACGAAGAGCCCTCGAGGGCTGCCCCGCGCGATAGAGCATAGTATTTACACAGACTGCGGATGTTTATACATTTATGAGAATTGTAAATAAATTAAAAACCTAGCATGCTGTAATATGTAAAGAAATGCCTAATTCGCAAAGTAAAATACAATTTGTAGTATTTAAAGAAGAAAACGAATATTTATATGCTCTTCGTTTCTTTAATTTGATGTGGGAAAATAAGAATTTGCATAAACATCTGCAGTCTGGTACTTACGATATAGTTCGAAATTAATTTCGAATGATAAGTAAACGGCTAATGATAAGTAAATAATAATAATAATGATAAGTAAATAAGCTAANGCTATCGCGATAAGCCGGCACGGCTGTGACGTAGACGGAAACGCACTAAACCGTGCACCGGGCGATTAGAATCGGGATTCCAGAAACAGCGTACAAATTATCTCATCGATATCGATTCGCGGAGCGCGAATCTCGCCGCGGGATTTTAAAGCGAACGAATCGTTGAAATGTTTGTAAGAAGCCGGAAGATGAGGCAACGCTACGGGTCGATAAGACGACGGCGAAACGCGGTTCTCCCTCGTACCGCTCGAAAACCAAGCCACACGATAAAAAACAAGTCCACGTCCCTGTTCCTATTGCTCGGCGAGGCTTTTGTCGTACGACCGCCCGCCCACACCTTCATCGATCGGTAGGAGACGACGGGACGCGACCCCAGCCGTTTACTTATTGTTAGATATCCCTGACAACGCGGAACGCGGAACGAGAGGTACGCGAATAGTACCTAAGATCGAAAAGATTAAATCTAACAGCGAGTATCTACGAGAAGAAGGAAGAACGATGATGAGTCGCAAACTTGTGCGTAAACTTTTGAAACTAATTGAAACTCTTTTCCAACAACGGAATTATGAAAAGGAGACCTATTTATGTAGCGCTTCGAAAAGTGGCTCGGTTCGGTGTAAGAACGACAAAGAAATCGAAACGGAGGTAAACCAGCCGAAAATCTCGTAGTTGAGTGTCGAAAGTTCGGATCATTAAAAGAGATTTCACGAGTTCCTATATTTGGGGCGCACGAAGAGCCCTCGAGGGCTGCCCCGCGCGATAGAGCATAGTATTTACACAGACTGCGGATGTTTATACATTTATGAGAATTGTAAATAAATTAAAAACCTAGCATGCTGTAATATGTAAAGAAATGCCTAATTCGCAAAGTAAAATACAATTTGTAGTATTTAAAGAAGAAAACGAATATTTATATGCTCTTCGTTTCTTTAATTTGATGTGGGAAAATAAGAATTTGCATAAACATCTGCAGTCTGGTACTTACGATATAGTTCGAAATTAATTTCGAATGATAAGTAAACGGCTAATGATAAGTAAATAATAATAATAATGATAAGTAAATAAGCTAATATTGTGAAATAGTGAGGACTGATTCAACGAACTACAAAATGAACCGAACTGGTTAGCCGCTGCCGGCGTTCATTCCGGATTCGTCCGTTACGAATTCACTTTCATCTCGTCTAAAGTATGTTACATTTCCGACTCGTCAGTGAAACGAAACGCGTCGTCGAAGGCGAACTGCGGATAAAGTGAACGATTCGCGAGAAGACGGAAGTAGAAACGGAAGCGACCTATACGGTTAATGGCACGC